TTCCTGCTGCATTCAGAAACAGGACTTGATACATCCTGGGGCTTCAACAAATAACTGACTCCATTACTAATTTATCCTCCTACTGGGAATGACCCATACCTTCCCAAATTTGCCTGAGTTGAAAAAGAGGTAATATTCTCATTTAATGAGTACCTATAAAAAGCACATTATGCCTGTGTTTGGATATTGTTGAAATTAAAACCGGTCATAGAAACCTCCAACTTAGTTTATCAGAAGATGGTTTTAGAGAGCAGCCAGATGCCAGCCAATCCAAAAGCAGTTTGATAAGCAGTAATAACAAAACAACGTTTTATCATCATGAATTAACTGAGTGGTTTGTTAATTGGGGTGTTGTTGTTAAAAAAAAAAAAAAAAAAAAAAAGGCTATTCTAAACAAAAGGTAAGTTAGAAACAGCTTCACAGACACTCTCTATACTGGCTGCTCAGAGAATATCAAATGAAATTCATATCCTCAGTCACAGTCTTCAAGATGCTCCATTAAACTGGCTTAAGTTGCCTAAGAGACTGCCTCTGATACAGTGACCTCCCTGAACAGTTACAGTCTCATCTATAAATACACAGACCTCTCAGTCAAGCCCATGAGAGCAGGAGGAAAAGCTGTGTTGGCAACTGGTCTGAAGCTACGGAACTCTGTTCGAAATGGGGTAGACGAGCACAAATCACATGATTTTCACAAAAACAGTACAAAACTTGCTTCTAAAATTTGTTCCCTATAGCTGCAGTCCCTCATGCAGCCAGCGCACTGTAGTAGATTCTTTCAAAAGATAAGTAAATCAAGAATCACAAAAAAAAACAAAGCTCACAAAACCTGCACACATACCTGCATCAAATGTGAAGCTTTGTGCAATGTTAATGCTTTGTTTTGCAAACCGATCCCATGGGGACGATGGTATAAACGCGTAAACACATATTAAACAAACAACTATTAGCATTCCCCGAGGTTAATGCAGCTACATTCTAAGTAATACTGTATCTGGGTATGAACAAACATACTCTTAGAGCAGCTTCAAATGGGAAGACAAAGTTACTCCTCAAGAGTGTGAAGCAGATGTTACGTTATAATGGTTACACACGCATGTTCCCATAGCGATGTAAGTGAGTTAAATTACCAACTTTCACCTAGGTGAAAAAGTTGGAGTGTTTTTGCTACACATGCATTGCTACAGGCTCACGAACACGTAACAGCTGAAGGATAACATGTGCTACATTGTCCAGAGCAGTAGCTCTACTCTTGTATTTTGAGGTCATTCTAAATATCCCCTTGTTGATTGTTCATATCCTGTTTCATTTAAAGTAAAGCCTGACTAAGAAAACACTATTAAATTGTTTTATACGTACTTTGAATAATCAAAAAGTCTGCTGTCCCAAAGACCATGCGTTCCCTTAGGTCCAGAATGAAAAAAACAGGAGTCTGTGCCATCAAATTTGTTCAAACCATCCTCTGAGTTCTTTGATGCATGGCTGTGCACAACATCCAATAGTATAGTAATTCCCATTGAGTGGGCAACATCAATCAATTCCTTCAGGTCATCTGGGGTCCCATAACGACTACAAGAATGAAAATACAACATATTAGGACATATGTAAATATAGTTTTAAAACAAGAGCTGAATATGGTACACACTGCAGCAAATTTTAAAATATAGAATACCTAAAATCACATAAGACAACTGCTGAGCCTCCTACTCTGCACAATGGAGTAACGATTGTACAGTAAAATGTAATAAAATATTAAATTAAAAGACAACCAGATGTAAGTTAATTACAAAATACTGGGAAAAATTAGTTATAAACTACCATTAAGGTATGCTAAAGTCTTTCAAAAAATGATTGGACAAAACTTGGTTATTTTCATGTCTCAGAAGGAAAAAGAAGGGTTATCCTGATAAAACCAATTTATCAAAGTGTTCCATTTTTAATTCCTTATGTTTTAGACTATCTAAAAGAAGTTCCTACATAGGTGGAATTAAACAATATATAAATGTGGAACTTGGTATGGGTTAAAAAAAATATACTACAGTTAAAAACAGCCCAATAAATACTCTGTTTCCCACATGTTGTAAGCTGTTGTCATACACTGACTTGTTTTGCATCATAATACCATTTACTTCAAACTTTTCAGTAAGGTCTATCTTAATATTACAATGTATAGTTTGTTCAACTAATTTAAGCAATTAAAGCTTCCTGATGGACTACATTTTATAGCGTCACTTGAAGCTTCATCAAGAAGATAATCTTCAGGTTTCCTATTGCTTTCATGAACAATTCATCTTCATCCTTTGCCCATTTCCACAAATTGGTGGGCCTGAAATCTCTCTCAACACAATATGTTATGAGCAAGTAATTAATTTATTTCCTAATAAACATACAGAGGCACTTCATTATAGTACGGCTCTTTGTTGAAAAGTAAAATGATTAGAAAACACTGCCATGAACAAATGCCCTAAAGATATTTTTTTAACCACAAAAATAGCACATTTTTTCTCTGTCAATTATTGCACAACATAGGGACCATAGAGGCATTTTTTTTAAAAAAGCACATAGCTAAAGCCCTGAGATGGAAAGTGCTTTGCCAATTAAAGTTACTCATGATCTTCTCATTAATCTTGCATACTATATTAAATGTATCTACAGAATAGCTGATAATTATACAAATCTAGTCACAGATTTATTAAGAGAAGAAACTCTGTTAAAAAAAAGAAAGAAAAAGAAAAGAAAAGGATATTTGGGCAAGATACCAGAATCCTTACTGTACATTAGACGTATTTACCTAAATTTAAACACTGCTTCAGTAACAACAAGGTGGGGGAAATAGGTATTTTAAGCATACCTTGATGCTGCAAAAAAACTTGTTATCTGGTAACCAAAACTGGCATAGTAGGCATGCTCCATAATAGCCATCAACTGAATGCAATTGTATCCTGTTTATAAAAGTAAAAGCAAAACAAAACAAAAACACATAAGAAATTATATTCCTACAAACTTGCATAATTGTTTGATAAAAGTACTTACCTCTCATATTATATCCATGTCTGAAGTACCTTTCTTTTCTTAACTAGTTCTAAATTTCCAATGTAAATTTAATAATTAACCAACTGTGCAGTCACTCTTAAAAAGTAATGTCACCTTAACATTTTATACTTGCATGACCTTCCTATCAAAAATGGGAAGGGCAATTTCTCAAGTGATCTACATATGACTAGATATATTGAATCCCTCGGTTTTTAACAAGCAATAAATGATATGCAAATATAATCTTAATTTGACTTCAGAATATTAACTATGCCAATCTGCATGTCCTGAACTTCAGTTGCACTTTTGATATTTACAGTGTTGATCAGGAAAGCAAAATAAGAGAGTAACTGATTATATGTGCTATACCTTGTGCTTTACCAAGACTTTTCTTAATATTTTAGAGACATTTTATTCCTTTTTTAATCATTACATTAAAAAAAAAAATTCAGACTCATTTCCCTAAAGGGATCTTTTTAAAAAAGAATATTAAAGCAGTGGTATTCTGCACTGAATTTATTGAAACAGCTGAGAACCAAGAAAAAGCGTTGTCCCTCATCCTACCCAAAATGTTTTACTGTGATATTAAATGAAGAAAATCTAAATGGAAAATAACATTTTGATGATTAAATCACAGCACTTTACACAAATCTTTACTAAGCTAACTTTAATGTCAGCAAATGAAGACTATCAGCAAAGAATAACCTTCAGGTTTGCTGAAGTCTGTTGAGAATACAGCTTCTGTATTTTTAATGTAAAAAAATCTTCAGCATAATGTTTAAACCTATTCTTCAGCATAACTCTACCCTGATTGTTTAATTTAGCTGTTACATCACTTTTATTTGATTGCGAGGGTCAAAAGTAAGAGTTACTATTACAGAGATAGCTGGCATCAACTCAGCAATGTCTGAAGTCTGTAGCCATTTTACAATTCAGGTTCAATCCATTTATTGTTACTTACAGTACTTTTGTATATAAACAGTACAAACTGCATCGGATTATTCTCATTCTATTTGCTTGCTGTTTATCTTGCTATTTGTGATGCACATACTTCTACAAATCATTAATATTTTATCATTCTTAAATATTCATTTAGAATTAGGCATAAATTAGCACTGAATACATTTCAGAACTGTGCAAAAAATAAAGTGCCCCTGAAGCAAATTCTTAAAAAAAAAAAAAGCATCAACTTAAGCAGGCTAGACGACAAATAATTAAACTTGTAGGAACATAATCAGTCATTCCCTGTATGCTTGATTTAAAGTTTATAATTTTTTTTAACCCCATTCTTCCATTTGCCATTCCATACTTTATTTGCATTTATATAAACACACACACACACACACACACACACACACACACACATCTGGGAAGAAGATTTGCTTATTATGAACAGAAAATCACAATATTAAAAACCATAAATCTATGTCTCAAGTATATTTGAAGTTGAGGGTCATCAATGTACAACTGCTTATCCTGCCCAACAGCTCGACTTCAGCAACAGGTGAAGATAGTATTTTTTGTGGAATAATTACTTGGGACATTTATACATCTGTGAGAGCCACTCTAATTAAAGCGCCCAGAACGTCTCATGTATCATTTGAGCTTTAGTTAAAGTGCCCCCACAGCCATTATTAAGCACAGGGATGCTGATACACAAGAAACTAGATTCTGCTCCAATGCACTGCAACCATATCATGTCAGAGCAGCCTTGTTGCTCATGTACAGGCACCCTTTAAGTAATATTTAGGACAGGTTTAAATAATATGTGGATGGAAGTAATATGGCTACTGTCTGGCTTCATATCTGCTTGTAATCTACCTTTCAACTGCTTGTTTCCACCACACTCTCCTGCTTTATCCTCACACAATTCAGATTAAAAGATTTCCTATGCCTACAAATGGACAGCAGTGCCATCAGCAGACACATCCCCTCAAAATAGCAATATTTTTATGGCAGACTATGAAAACATAGCCATAGAGAGGTCTGTATTATGTTTGTCCTGGAAGAAAAGCCTTTTTCCTCAGCACAAAAAAGGTATAAAGCTGTTCAAATGATTTCTTGCGCATCAGAACTAGCTCTTCCGCAAGAAAGTAAGATTGATTCCTTCTAGGAAGGTCTCCCACCTCCCAAACTAACTTGAATTGATGTACACTTCTCACAGGTGTTGAGGACAGCTAATGTCCCAGTCTTCTGCTCTCCCGTTCTGCCTTCAAGGTTCCCTGGCTCACTGCCCAGAAGCAAGTTTAGAGGGAGTCCTGTGGGGATCATGACTTGAACAATTCCCTCTCGCCCCTCCCCACCATCAATCAGCCTATTGACAAAACAGGCTGTCAAATGAGCTGGCTCCCCTCCAAGGGCAGGGATGACCCAGAGATGGCTTTAGTGCCCTTGGCTAAGGAGTTAGTCTGTGTGTTCCAGCTCCTAGACTCTAGAAGGCCTATCCAAGGCTTTTGAAATCCTCTTCCACTGGACATGACCTTTCCTCCATCTTCAGCATGCGGACACATGGGAAATAGTCTCTAGAGAAATTCCACCAGGACTTTAAAAACGTCCACCTCTCCACCAAACTGACTCCTGAATACTGCACCTAGCCTGTTCATTTCTGGAACATCACTGTGAAATTGCAATGGCAACACCACCACCATGGGATTGCTTCCTATCTAGTATCCCTGCTCTCTGCAAGTCAATTCACAGTGTCTGATACCATAGGTTGTCATTCATGCCTTTCTGAATATAAGTTAGTCTTTAAGGTGCTGATTTATCCTGCCTTCTTCCATGAATAAACTAAGATTTGCCAGAAATACCAGATGTCATGGCAAAAGTTATTTTCCTTTCTAATCACAGAAAGTCAGGTCTCATCATTGCTAACTGAAAAGAGCTAGCAAGAGAATGTTACATGATATAGAATGGCACCCAGGACACAAAAATAGCTATATAAAAAAAGCCCCAGAAACCACATAGACTAACAGCTTGTCAATTTTTTTGAGGAAATCACAGCAGCAGCTTCATATACATACCTAACCTTGATAATAATATATTACAGCTCTTTTCTAAAATAAAATTGCTTATGTTAACAATTGCTTTGCAATACTAGAAAACACGATTTTAAAATGATACAATTTAACACATTTCAGACAGTAAACTGAACCAACAGAACCAATAATTGTTTCCTTTTAGCTAGATGTACATTAGTAGAACTAATAATTGCAAATAGATTATTACCCAATGACTGTCATGCATAAAAGAGTTTCTTTCACTCTGAACACAAATTATCCTGCAATATTTATCTATGCCTTTGGAATAACATTGTACTTAAAAAGGTAAAATGGTATATTTTTGATCCATATGCATGACTATGGACTTAACTGTTTCATTAATACAATTTTTACTGACTTAAAATACATTTTTAAAGCACATTAAATTGTCCCTCTCTCCCTTTTCACCCCTCTACCTTCCATCCAGCTCCTGTACCAGGATATCTCTAGCCTCCTGAAAGTGAATGGAGAGCTACGTGCCCCTTGCCAGCATGCAGAAACATCCAACAGGGCTGCCCTCTCTCTGGACTACTCTATGCTTTACACATCGAGTTGCTGTTCCATCCACCGCCTGACAGGCCTGGCCCTGCCATCAGCTGCAGACCCTCCAGTTAAGGTGACAATGTATGCCAATGGCATGGTCCACCTGTGATGCAGAGTAGCAGCTGCCAGGTTGTTGATGGCCGGAACCGAAATAGATAGACGGGTGAGTCTAGGAAAATATCCAGGGCTTCAAAGCCTTCATGGCACCTGGATAGGCCTCCAGGTAGGTCTGGGTGGTGGGAGGGCGTGGAATATCAGCCCAGGCACCCAGTAGAATGTGTCAGTTTTGACCCAGGTAATACAAGCTGAGGAGGCACACTTGTAGACCCTTTGACACTAAATCAAGGGCTGGACTTCACTTTCAGTGCTCACAAAGGCTAAGGACAGAAATTACACATAAACCTGTACAAGTGATTGGAATCCAGTTCAAAACTGCAACACAACAGAAGTTCAGTACACAAACTGCTTTCAAAATGGTCAAAACCAACTTAGGATAAACCTGGATGGATGTATTATCAGACTTAACTGATTTAGATTAAATTGGTTTATTGAACTTCTGTCATAGATCCCCTCCAGATTCAAGCTGTCTGCTCCAACAGAGCCAGGAGGTGGGCTCTAGCGACCCCCTCCCCCAGCTTCTGGTCTGAGTCACAGCAGGCATGCAATCAAAAGTGAATGTCTGTTCATTTACTTATTGGTTCAATCTACGCACCTTAAACTAACCTGCAAAGATTGAATCAATTGAGCTTTGCGCTTTTTGACTGTCAGTACTTAGCCAAGAATCATGTCATTGGCATGTGCTGGCACCTTAACTGGAGGGCCTGCAGCTAGAGCTGCAGCTGATAGCAGGGCCGGGCTCATCAGGCATGGCTGCAACGAATGGAGCAGCAATTCTATGTTTAAAGTATTCCTGAGACAGAGGCAACCATCAGGGCTGCTCTGTATGCTGGACAAGCCCTTCCCAATGACAACTCACTAAATAAACCTCCTCTACTAGTGCCCATTTCTCTGGCTGAGGACAACAACCAGTGCAGCAGGCCCAGGACCCTATTGTCCCTCTCTCTAACAAGAACAGTGGTGGGATGTGCTTTGAGATCCTGTCTGAGGAGGAACTGTACACACAAACAGTCAAAGAGCAATATGCTCATGTCCTCACTGCCTGCCCTGATGCAACCTGGAGATGGCACTTAGCGGTAACTCCACCAAAGCAAGCTTGGCTGGGCTGGTGCTTCCTATACCACCTACCCATTGCCAAGAGTACTGGTGAACTCCAGTGGTTGTATGGGACCCTGGCTCTACTGGTACTTTCTGTGAGAAGGAGGTGGAAGACACTCTCTTCCATGTCTTCCTGGACTGATCCCTGGTTGCAGCCACTCTTT